TGTCTCTGCTGAAATGCTGAAACTGGGTTTCTGAAGTGTTACAGCATGGATGCACTTTCTGTCTGTCTCAGTCAAACAAAGTCGACACAAACACATTGTATCATGACAGTGACATTATATTCTTTAAAACAAGCATTCTATATTTAGCAATATGACAAGAACAAGGACTTCAGCAATTACACTATTTGGCAAAATTTCATCTCAAACGTCTGTCTCTTCCTCTTGCAACACAGCTGTTGACAAAGTCTCCACAACTCAGGTAGTACCCTTCAGGGAGTTACAAAGATGACTCAAATTGCTCGTTTTGATCGGTGTTCACCTCCAGCTTCACTGAAGGGATGCTCTCCGACTTAGTCCTCCTCGTTTTTGGAAATTCAATGACAACTTCTGAACAAGAAATACTAAGTGACGAGGATTTTTCTGTCTTCTTTGCAGTACTAGCTTCTCCTGCTCCGCAACACTGCTTCAAAGCACACTGAGTCCTGCAAGGAAACTCACATTTCCCTCTCCCTGACTCAGAGCCAACGCTGGCAAACTCGGGCTGAATGGTAGTTGCATGAATCCCTTCGTCGTGAAAGATCTCTTTGATGCGCTTGGCCACCATCATGTACGTGGAAGGGTCAGGACACTTGATGTGAGCAGTGCCAATGATCCTACTGCCTGCTAGCTGCCAAATGTGTAATTCATGGATTGCTTCCACTCCTTCGAGGGTACGTAACTTTGAGTTCAAAGAATGGACGTCTATTTGTTTGGGAACAGTCTGTAGAAGGATGAGGGCTGATTCCCTAAGTAACGGGTAAGTTGTGTAAAGGAGTATACAGACCATAATCAAACAGAGGACAGGATCTAAATACAGCAACCAGCAAGGACCAGCCGTCGTAATGCTCTCTTGCCCTGACCCGATAGCTCTGCCAAGTGTTTGGGATAAAGTAGCATTTTCCATGCAGTGATTATTGACACATGGATTAAAGCAAGGCCCATCTTCAGGGCATGGATTCCACAAGCCATAAAAGAGCAAGGCATTCACTACCACAATTACTGAACCTAAGGCATCTCCAAAAACATGCAGGAAAACTCCACGCATGTTAAGTTGTGCACTAGAGTCTTCTTCAACTTCCTCTTCATCCAGAGGATAATGGCCAGCATTCCCATTCACTTGTACGTCACTCATGTCATCTTTCGTATCACCTGACAAGAAAACAATAAAACAATTAAGCATGAGCTATAATACAACATGGCACTGTAATTCCTCATAAAATCATATCCAACAGTAAGCATAGCACACTGCGTATGAAACCAAAAAGCAACTCAACCCACACACTTAGCAACATCTTCTCTGGCTGAGGAAAATTCCATTTACCCAATAAGTGATCTAAATAATCTGGAAGGCAACTGTTTCTACATGGAGGTTTAAGACATAGAGTGGCAAAGAATGAAGATGACCACATTTTAATTACTCTACTGAAAAACTGCTTTCACCTTTTCCAGCTGCATAACCATTTGCCTATTCACTGTTTGTTTCCTAAACAAAATGCAGAGCTAGACAGGATATGTAAAAAAGCTGGTTTAAGTAGCTTAGTTAGGTACATTTGTTCCTTCTTTTGAAACACTGATCACATTGCTGAAATCCATCTTTAACCATAGGACTGCATTGCTATTTCATATTAAAATTTGAAGCTAGAAGCTCAAAAGCTGTATGATACAGCTGTGTAGTAGCTTCTTTTCAGGTTTACCAATGCCTTTTCAAGAGGCTTCTGAATTCAAGGAAAAGGAAGTTCTTCCAAGATGGTGCATGGAGTTAGCAGGACCATGAGATAAATCAGCTGAAATTTTAGGTCTAAAACGCAGAATTTACCAGCAGAATTAACTACAGAGCAGTGTAAGTTATCACCGAAACTCTGAGGATATCAACTACTGTTATTTATATTTCAGAATAAATAAATATATAGTAAAATTGTATTTTTATGCAAGTGACATATAGCTTTTGAGTGACATACAGCTCCTGATGTCCAAAGTAATTTGTCATTGACTGTAAATAAATTAACATTTTTGTACCCTCCTTTGTCACAACTGTCTGCAATATTTACCACTCCAACACAGTTAACCAGCTACATGGGAACACATCATTACAAAGAAGAATCCTTTCTGAACAAAAATCATCTTCCAGTGTTCAAATTGGAGAGAAGTGTACATGATTAACCTCCTGCTTTTCTTCAAAAGTGGTTTTTTTTTTTGGCTACTTCCAGTGGTAAAGAAAAGCAACAGGCACTGGCCCCTGGCCCGACAAACTGAAACAAGGAGCTCTTACTGCTCCTTGAGGTTATTGAGTTCAGAGCTTTGTAAACATTAACACGTTAATAAGACGTGCAGCTTCTGCTGTTCTGCCCTTGTGGCTGCAATTCTGCAACTGCGGAGTGCGCACAAGTGCTCTCCTCTCTGAAGAGGGAGTGGGCTCCTACCGAGGCTCAGTTCCAAGCCCAAGCTCGTTGCCTCATCCAGTACACTTCTTTCTGCCCTGAAGCTCCAGCTACATTTTCCACACTACCTCTAGGAGTTATGGAACATGGGACCTGTAACTTTCCAGAGAAGTAAATGAATTAGAGGGAAATATCTCGGGTTACAGAGTTCAGACCTCAAGGTCCACAGTGAGAGCAAGGAAAGAGGAACGCTCTACTTTGTACCAAGTACTTGGAATAGTGGAGATCTGAAAAGTCAGTACAGCTGACTTTTCTGTCAGCTGTAGTCAGTTCTATACAAGTGGGTAACATGAAACATAGTTCCAGAAAGCTCTTGAACTTTTTTTTAAAGGCAAATGGTTAGAACATGCCCATTTGAAATACACTCATTGAAATGTAACAATAAACTGATTATTTTGCATAAAGTGCATCCATAGAAATTCTTGTACAGGACTAGCCACTAAGGCTATGCCTACTTTTCACTTCCACCTCAGGAAATCAGGACTACCCCATTCTGTGATTTCCAGTGAAGGCACAGGATCACCTTTGTCATTATCTCTACATCTTGCATCTTCTCCCAAGCCTCCAATCACCTTTACCTCCAACTTTTCCATAGGCAAACTATGAGTAGCTCCATCCATTACATAATCATGACAGGGCAATGAAGGAAATAGAAACTTATCTCAAAGTTTCACTGTGACCAAAATTATGTCCTATTACCACCTAAACACCCACAACAAATTATTTGCTCTTGCCAGAAGCACATCCATGAGACATTCCAGACAAGTCAGCTCACAACAATATCCATTTTAATTCATGCTATAACTAGTCCAAAACTTGGCTAAAAGCACAACTTTTCACCATTAAATAATTCCCAAGCCAATATATGTATGAGACTAAGGGTTAAGGGAATTTTACATTGTTTGAACCTAATTATTAGGATACATTTGCTGGAACTAAACCAACATTAAGAGCTTATTACATGGTCAAGAAGATGGTGTAGTGTATTTAGATGAACTTTCCTATCCTCTTGGAAAACCTGTCTTTCCAAAACCAACACAGAGTTGGAGAAACAGAAACTAAGTTTCTCAAATATGTATTGGAACCTCTGATCACAGAAAACCTGTTACTGTAGCAAAGTTCACTCTGATCGATTAAAGCTCCCTTTAAGCTAAAACAATGGTCTGCTGATGTCACCCTGAACCTGAAGGAGAGAAATTGGTTCCAAAGCCTGAAGTCCATTCCTTCTGGTGACAAGGATGCCCTAGGAACAGAGAAGTGGCAATCACACACACCTTTCACTCCGCTGGCACGCAATACTTGGCTTCGACCAAGCAGCTTCAAAATCAACTATCCAGGCTTCTGGATCCACTAAAAAATAACCCAAGAAATTCCTACCTATGAAACACTTTAACCACAATTGGGAAGGGAAGATTTTTAAACATATGCCTGCGTGCAGGTCAGTGGGAAGGCACGTGCTTTAGAAAGCTAAACAAAAATTATTCCCAAGACACCACACATGTGCCCTGACACCAGCATGCTCCACATTCCAGCTTCCACAGTTCTGACTGGCAATTTCCAAGACTTCTTCCTATTAATACCGATACTATGAAGAGACACAACATTATTACAGTGGAATACGCTTCCGTGTGTTTGGTTTAGATGGAGAGTAGCTTCCCAGGTAACTGATAACTGACCCAATGGAGCAATCCAGCTGCCGGCACAGCCAGTTCGGATGGCATTAGGAGAGCGTCTTGTGACAGCTCGTGTGGCCAGGCAAGAAACGCTTGTCACGTGCTTTTCCTTGCAGAACTAAATTTTTTCCCAGGGCAAACTGCTTTATCCTGAGACTCTTTTACACTCTGACCTGTCTGCAAGACAAACATGCAGCTTAGGGCATCCGAAGGAAAGGCGTGAGGAAGAGGTGCGACAGCCATGTGCCACAAGAGCTGCTAAGAAAGTTTCTCGCCTCTTTTCCAGGAGTGGGGACAGATGGTCCTCACAGAGTCCTGACAGAGCCCGCACCAGGTGGGACCAGGACGGCCACGACCCCACTCGGGAAAAGGAACTCCCCCCGCTTTTCTACGCGTGGATGGAGCAGCACCGCTTCCCCGCGGGGCTTACCCAGCTTCTCCTGGCTGACTCCGTTGGAGCTGCTGCAGTTCTCCACCAAGGTGCTGGTCTCGTCGCGGTTCAGCGCAGCCTCGCCGTCCCCGGGAGGCTGCTCGGGCTTGGGGCCGCCGCGGGGGTGCTGCTGCCGGCCGCCGTGCGAGTGCCCGTGGCCGTGGGCGTGCCCGTGGCCCCCGACGCCGTGGTGGTTGAAGAGGCAGAGCCCCAGCAGGTTGATGATGAGCCCCGCCACCCCCACGGCGATGACCACCAGCGGCTGCTGGATCTCGTGGGGCTCCGTGAAGCGTTCGATGGCCTCCAGCAGGATGGTGAAGCAGAGGGCGGTGAGGAACACGGCGTTGACGAGGGCGCCCATCACCTCGGCCCGCACCCACCCGAACGTGTTCTTCTTGGTGGCGCGGGTGCGCTGGGCGAAGCGCACGGCCACCAGCGCCACGACCAAGGCCATCACGTCGGAGAGCATGTGGAAGGAGTCGGAGAGCATGGCCAGCGACGACGTGACGCGGCTCACCGCCACCTCCACCACGAAGAACAGGAAGGTGAGCGCCAGCATGCACAGCAGCCGCGCCCGCCGGTTCTGCCAGCACCGCGGCCCGCCCGGACCGTGCGCCGCCATCCCCCCGCACATCGCGGCTGCCCCGGCGGGGGTGCGAGGAGCGCGGCGGGCGGTCGGAGCCCCGAGCGCTCGGGCGGCCGCTCCGCTCCCCCCGCGCCGCCGCCGCCGCCGCTGCCGCCGCTCCCTCCGCAGGCGCCGGGCGAGCAAACTTTGCACCCGAGCCCCCTCACTCTTTTCACACGGAACCCGAGCGCCGCCTCGGCCACGCCCCCGCCCGCGCCCCATTGGCCGGCGCGCCCCGCCCGCCCGGCCGTGCCCTCCCGCCCCCGCGCCCGGCCCCGCTCCCCATTGGCCCGCGCGCCCTCGCGACAGCGGGGCCCCGCCCCCGCCCGTTAACGCCCAGCGGGCCGCGGCCTCCCCGTTCCGCCCGCCCGCGCCCGGAACGGGGAGTGGGCGGGGCCACGCGTGACGCGCCGGGGAACGACGGATCCCCATTGGCTCACCGGCCGGCTTTCCCCTCCCGCCCCGCCCCCGCAGGCCCCGCCCGCGGCGAGCGGGACTCGTGCAAAAGGTGCGCTTCACACGGCCCCGGCCCGGCGCGCGCCCGGGGGCGGGGCCCGGCGTGAGGGGCGCTGTGACGTCACGGGCCCTGAGCGGGGATTTCGGGTGGGATTTGCGGTTTTCGGCCACTTTTTGCGGGGGCGGGCGCCTGTTTAATTTTCTCTGTTTAATCTTTCTCTTTAATTTTTCCTCTGTCTAATTAAAAGATTAATTTTTAATCTTTTCCTGTTTCTGCCACTTAGGGCAGGAAGATAAGTGCGAACGCGGCCACTAATAACTGATGGGAGGCTAAAAAAATTGGAAGAGTTTTTACAAGAAGTTTTGCTTGAAGTTTTAGAAGGCTGTATAATATAATAATATATTAATAAAATCTATAATAATTTCTGTATTGTTAAATACGAATTAATAAATTTTATAATAATTTTTCTACAACAATATAGGGAAAAATATGTAAATGCCACAAGGTCGGTCCCTGGACACTGGTTTGTTACGCTTGTAGTTAGGAAAGGGAAAGCAAGTGTTTTGAGACATCCGGAAAAACCACAGAAGAGTGACCACAAAATGTAAAACAAAAAATAAACGGCCAAAGTTACAAAAAGGCAGAGCTGACCTCTTACTTTGCTCACTGTGTTCTAGGGAACCAACAAACACGGAGCAAGAGACAGAGTGTGAAAGAACATTCCGTGAGCAGAGCATGGAGAGGAGACAGCAGCCCTGGCTCTTGGCAGCTGTGGAGGTGGAGCTGCGGACCCACAGAGGCCAGAGGAGAACTGGTGGCCTGAGATGGAAGAAATAGCCAGAACGCAAAATGTTGTTCCTGTACTTGGAGATTTCAAAGGGATTGTGATTCAGGGTCTGTGCAAAGGTTCCTGACTTAATTTGGGCAGTAAAATGACAGAAGGTGCTCACGTGTCCACAAGGAAACCTTCATCAATGAGAATAACTGAGAGCAGTGATTCAGGACAGGCTTCCCCTGTGCTTGGCTGCATCCCCAAGAGCCCACACCTGGATACCACACTCTTATCCATGTGTGGGATAAGAGGCAATGTGTGCCATTCCCTCACTTTTGCTTAATTTTCCTCACATGGCAGAGCTGGCTTGGGCACCAGAGGCACTGCTGTGCTGACCTGTGACCCTAAACCGTGTTTCCCATGAGAGTATCCTTGGGTCAAAATCTAGGTGTCCTACGTAGCGGTAGCAGCCCATGCAGGATTCTTTACTAGCCATTGTAAAAAGAGTCAGCAATTAGATTGCTATAACATTCTCCTCACCTGGCTTCCCGTATGCCCTGACGTCACTCACTAACAAGCTAAACGGCAATTGCATGGAACGGAACATGCCCATATTGTGTTGTCCTCACTCCCACACAAGGCCATTAGTTAACAAGGAAGAATTACCCAAATTTAGGATATATGGGTCAAAGAAACTGCTGCAGCTCAAACCTCTTTTAATTACTGCAGGTGAAGTGGGTCATCATTTTACAGAGATTGCTATTAATCCAATGGAATTTAGCTAGGAAGGAAGGGAGAACAACAAGTTTGGTCTCTCTCATTGGCTCAGCTCCAGGAATTAGTGAAATTGGGTTTTAGTTGGTTGCCACCAGGGTGTCATCATAGTTTTCTTGATTAAAAGTACTCAATCCCCTCCTGAGAGAAATAAGCAGAATATCAATATCAGTAGAACCCTGATGAATAAAACTTCATTATAAACTTGTCAAGAGCTTTGCCTGATTTAAAGAGGGGAGTTAGGGCTTTTTGGACTCCTTTCCTGGTATGCAAATGATGTCCAGATCAATTTGTAATCCTTTTTACATCTCTTCGCCATGAGACCTTCTGATCTGCCTCACACCACTGGACGGTGTACTGCAGCCTTCCCCTTACAGGATGGCATCTTGCTGATCCTTAGCCATGTCCAGGGATAGCTTTTTGTCCTGCTATACCATGCTGAGTGCTTGATTCTACTTGGGGCCAAAAGCCACAAGACATGGACAATATACCCCAGGAGAATGGGAGGGTGTGGTTTCTTCCCAGGCTGGGAAGAAAAATGGTTCCTGAGGCCTTCCCCTGCTCCCTGATGAATAGGGCTGGGCGTACAGTTTTGACCCAGCCACTCTTGTCTCCATGGGCTTCAAACACAGGGACTTTGATGAATGATCCCCTGTGGCTGCTGGATGTGCCAGGCACGGACTGGCAGATGGACCACACAGGAGTTCACACTGCTACCTCTTCCCCACACTTTCTTTTAAACCAGTGGGCTGTACACTGCTGTTTCCAGGCTTTTCTATTTTATTACCATACACCAGCAGCCAAGCGGAACGGGGATATTTCCTAAATTTAGGGCTGTCCATCTGGCAGCACCATCAATTTTAAGACTGATGGGAAAGTGACTGATACAGGTACCTAATGAAACCATAAATGGTGTTTTACAGGAGACACAATGTTCCTGCCTGTGCTTTTAGGCAGAATACTTTGTCTTCAGAGTAGGGAGGACTCTGGATTTTTTGTTGTTTTTACTTTTTTTCAGCTTCCAGGCATTGTTCATGACTCAAAGAATTCTTTCTCAGCTCAGCTTCCGGTCCACAGATGTGGAAGGACCCATCTAAAATTTGTTTACTTACCATAAATGCTTTGTGTTCCGATGGGAGAAGTAGCTGTGGATGTCTGGCACACAGCTTCCTCCCCGCCCAGAGCCAGGTGACAAGTCTGAACAGAGAGCTGCTGCTTGTCACCGGTCCTGCAGCAAAACGTTTTGTACCGAGTCCTGCTGGGCTCTCCTGAGCCAGCCGAGCCCTGTGTGAAGGACTTTGGCTGGGAGTTTTGCTATTACTCAGCATGTTTGCTGAACAAATAAAGTCACTGCTTTTCCCCTTTGAATTTCTGAGCAGGGTTGCAAGTGGAGAGATCTCCACCACATAGGGCTCTTCATCACTCTGTGCCTTTCCACTTGGAAAAGGTGAAACCCTGCCTAGGTGCCAATGCAGTCACATATTACAGAGCACACGGCCTCCTTTGAACACCCAGCTCTTCCCCTTTCTGTGCAGTCATCAGACCTGTTGGCTTTTAATGAGGGCTTTGTGGGACTGTGGCAAACGTGTCTCCATCTGTCTGTTCCACTTCAAGGCTGTCAGCATTCATTTTAGGCTGCGTTTGTCACAGGCAGTATCTCTCTGGTAGCTGTCCTTACAAGGTTTCTTCAAATTAGATGCAGCCAGCATCACCAAAGCCAACAGAAGCACTCACTGTCCAGATACCTGCATATAAAAAGGTTGTTCCTTGTAACGAAAAACAACACAAATTAAAAGTGAGTATGACTGTTCATGTAGCTCTAGGTTGGATTCACAGTAAGGCACTGATTCAGGAAAGCAGCTTTATCAAGGAAAAGACATAGGCATGTGTTTGCAGTTAATTAAAACACCTTCGAACAGAGGTAAGTTAAGCGTGTGCTTACATGCTTTTGTTAGTGACCTCTGAAGAAAGCCTATAGCAGTAATTGGCACTGAGATAGGAAATGAAGGACACCTTGCCCTACAAAGAGATTTCTTCTTCTACCTGATTACTGTGTCTGTGAAATCTGGGCTCTTTGGAAGTCGGTGGCAGAACTCCAGGCAAGTTGAGGTGATCAGGATGTCATCCACTATACTTCTTCTGAGCCTTGCAAAGCAGATTAAAAGCTCTTTTTTTTTTTTTTTCCCTTCTGAAACATTTTCTCCCAAATGAAGAAACAGCTGATTTTTGAAACATGCCTCTCTTATGTCCAGTTTTGATCTTTCCTTTATTTTGGATTTTTACTTTCAAGCTGCTCACTTGATTCAATGGCATTCGGTATCCTGTAAATGCTCCAGAACTTCAGACACAATTGACTGCATGGTCAATCTGTAATTGTTTTTAATGAACAGGCATGCCCTTTTTGGTGCACTAAAGAGCATTTCCTGGCTGCTTTGATTACCAGTTTGTCTGCTTATGATACAAATATTATTTTCCTAAAACCCACAAGTAGGCAGGCAAAACAGTTGCTCAAATTAGCTGTGAAATTAATACTGATATTAGTTAGAGCTAATGCCTTATTCAGCCAGTGTTTGAGTGGATCCAAGTGGAAAAATCACCACCATATTAATCATTAAAGGAAAAAAGGCAGGAGAACTTGTGGTGTTACTCACTTTTGCACACAGTGTGGTTCTCTGGTGGAAAAGAGTAACAATGACTCAAGAGGGATCGGAAAATTCTATAAATATGGAATTCTGGAATGAAAGTATGTCTTTGCATCTGATTGGTTCATAACATTTTTAATTATTACTGAAATAAATTACTATCCTTCTTATGGCATTTTTAATAAATCATACTGTTAAGCTCTGCCTTTTATTATCTTTAGAAGGAACATGAGAACAAGCCAATTATCTTGGAGTCATGGTAATGAGTATCATGGAATCAATGGGTAATTGTGAGATACGTGCTAATCACAGTGGTGGCTACTACACCTATTTACAGGATCAGGTCCTTTCAGAGAGCTCACAGTACTTTCTGGTGCCTGAGCTGGTTGATTTGGGGCATGAATTTCCTTTGTCACAGTAGGATGCTGGATTTCATTGGTGAAGGATCTCTAGACGGTCTCTTGTTGGAAGAAGATCATTCAGGTTCTTTGAGGTAAGTCCCTGCAGGAACAGATAATAGTGTAGGAACTCATAAACGTGCATGTACTGGCATTGGAAAAGGCAGTTCAAAAACTAGTTCAACAAGTGCAGCTCTGAGTTGTGGGAGGCTGCAGAGCACCTCCATGTAGTGCTGCAAAGAATCAATGCCCTTTGGTGGCACATTTTGCCCTGAGGAATGGAGCTATGCTGGTTTATCCCCCTGTCTCCTGGGAGCTCAGTGACATCAAGGGCAAACTGTACAAAGATCTCAGTCCCAGTGACTGAGCTAGGCTGTGTAAGAACATGGTCCCAGAAGAGGAAGATCCCCAGGCAGGTTGGAAAGGAAGCCATCCCCCTGGCTGTGTGCATGCAGAGTTTACAGGCTGCTTCCTGGAACAGCCATGAGCACAGGATATGGCACATCCTATCATTTCTGCTGTGCCAGGCAGGCCTGCCCGCAGCATGGCAAAGAGCCTGGTGGCACAGCATGTGCAGGGCGTGCTCAGGCTCAGGGCCTGTGTGCAGCACCCCTCGACAGCCTCCTGCTCTGACCCAGCACCAACAGGTCTGATCTGCAGGGCAGCCTCAGGCTCACCTCCCCAGCAGCCCAGGTGCTGCCAGTGCTCCCAGCCAGCTCACTACCCACACACTGCTCCTGCTGCCACAGCACACACCAGGCAAGAGCTGCAGCCTTCTGTCCTCATATAAAGGCTGTAAAGTCATTCAAGTGGCTGAACTACAGCATACTCATCATTTTGCTATTTATGTATTAGATATTTACTGTGTCAGATTTAGGTGGATGAATTTGCCTTTATTACACAATAAATACTGATGCTTTGACTTGGAATGTGCTGCAATCCCAACTCTGAGACCTGCTGGACACTGCTGCTTTTCCCTGGCATGGCCTTCACATAAGGATAGAGACACGAAGGCCTCTTTTTAAGGATCATTTATATTTGATGTTTGTCAAATCATATCCCAAGGCAGTAAACATAGACATGTCAAGTTTATGTTTTGCAACTGCATCTATTAATTTTCCAGATTGCCTTCTACAGAGGCAGTTTTGTTCTCAACTTAAGCTGATTTAACTAAAAGCTGGTGCCAAAAGTGGCCACTGCAAGTCCCTTTCAGAAATTATATTCCTGCTCCCAACCAGGCCTCAGATCTAGCAATTAGGGCATGTGATGCCATGATGGGCATCAGCTTTGCCGGCCAGTGCAACCAAAAACCAAATTACTTTTCATCTTCATTGCTTTTCAGTCAGTTCAGCAAGTTAATCCTATTTACCTAGGCAGCAGGATTGCTAGAGCTGACACACAGGACCATGTGATTGGGGCAAGGTAAAGTATGTGACCATATGCTGGCATCTACTGATGCTGGTCATGAAACCACAGTCTCAACTGAACAAGAAGGGAGGGATTCATGTTTGGGAATTGGTAGCTGATACACAAACATCTTGTGATCACCAGTCTCCCTTTAGAGTCAGCAGAGATCTAATCAGCTTTGTCAGTGGAGTCTGCAACATGCTTTATCTCCTCCTACAATGCTATGTACTTGATCAGATGAATTCCATCCTTAGAGTGCGCATTTCTGCCCCAGATTATAAAGAAAGTCTGGTGTGAATTGCTTGGAGATTAGATCAGTGGTTAATGAAGTGACTCCTGTCCCCACCGTTAGTTTTGCCCACTATAAAACAAGGATTTTCCTTATTCTTACATCAAAGAGCATGAGTTAAGTGAGTTCTTTAATGACCCAAACTGAGTAATGCCAGCAGGAAGAGTAGAATCCGGTGGCCTGTACCAATGGTTATACCAATATGCTAGAAATGTGATGTTCAAGGCTGGGTCTCCAAACTAAAATTCACAGGCACAGCGGAGGAGTTTTGATTTAATCACTCCTGGGCAGCTGACAGTTCCCTCAGAAGCAAAGAGAAGGGGTGGATGCTTTTGGAAAGCAGGTCATTTATGTAGGTGATTAAACATAGAGGAGACTCACTTGAGGCATGAGTTTTCAAAACACCTTCATCCAGATCTTACAAGCTACTTCTATAGAGTTCATTATCAATGGCTATTTGCATAGCAAAATAGTGACTGTGAGCATTGCTTCTTGCAAGTTTTATTTGTGTTAACCTGCTTTACACCTAGCCAGATGTTTCTGCCCTAATGTTTGGGGAAACAAGGGTTCAGATTGGCATGGGTAGATTAAATTATAATCTATAGTCGCTGCAATGCCCATGGAAGGAACCCATTTGCATCACTGCTAAGATGACAAAGCAGTTATTAAATCCAGCAGCTACAGTGGCTGTCCCAGGAAGGACTTGTCGGTCAAGTTTCTAAGTAATCTGTTTGTGAAATACATGTTCCATCTCCCTTATTGACTAACAATGTATATTATCTAGTTAGTTAACTGTGGGGCTAAAGGTCTTTTTTCCTGTCATTTGTCAAGCTCTTGTGTAAAAAGCTGCAGTAAAACTGTGTATAACCTTAGGATCCTGAACAGTGCCAACTAAAGTTCTAGGAATATACTCATTCACTTTTTTATTAGCCACATAAAATAGACAAAATTTGTGTCTTTGCCAATTAAATAAACCAGGACCTATCTCTTTCTTGGAAATTCTGCTAGAGAAAGATATTCTCTTTGTAAAAAGGGAAATGTACAAATAAGCAAAATATGTATTTGAGGAGTAGTAGCATAGCATGGTAGTGTTGTTAAAGCTCCAGTATATACATTTTATAGCACTGTAGTGATATAAAACCACCATAGGCATTATCAGAACACTTATAGACACTAACTGTTAAAAGTCAATAAATTAGGAGCTCTTTTTCAAATTGGTGTTCAAAGCTTCTGTGTTGTTGATGATTATATCAACGACCTTTGTAACTATTCCTAAGTAGAAAAAATGTTTCATGGAGACTTGGTTACAGCCTATAAGCACACAGAGAGTCAACCAAGAGTATTTGTGTGTTCACATATCCCCAAAGAGTTTTAACAGGCTGGGCAGACACAATTCTCCATGGGCGACAACCATTCCAGTGAATTGCCCTCTAGGACACTGCGTGGGTGAACAAGGATTTGGGTGTGCGCATGTGGCCACTCCTGAGATCTTCTGTATGGCAACATGCAGGCACTGTGTAGGCTGGAAGTGTTACAGGAGGGGGAGGAGGAGCTGCTTGATGCCTGTCATTATAATTTGCCATCGTCCTACGTGATGGATTCCTGGCATTGGCTCTGGCCTGATGCAGCAGTCGGGGCAGCAAGTGCCCACCTTGCTGAGGTGATTTGTCCTGCCTCACATCCCACAGTGTCCTCCTGACCTTCTCAGTCCTCCTGGCCCCCTTAGTCTCTCTCTGACCTTCTGGCAGTGTGTCACACAGCCTGCTTGTGCTGGTTGGGATGGTGGCACAGGTCCCAGCGTATGGATGTGGATCTTGGGCAGCCAAATCCCAGTGCTCAGCCTGCCCATGGCAGGGAACAACCAGTTCTGGGAGCTGGGCTGTACCCTCTGACTGACAGGCCCCAGTGTAAGCCCAAATTTGTGTTTCTGTCTTATCTGCTGCAGGCAGTGAGGGAGCCCTCTGGGCCAGCAGGATAGCACATCTGCCTGGGGACCCTCCCAGCTGCAGCACTGCTGCCAGCTCCCCCTCCCAGGGGTTATCTGGGACAGCTGGGACCTTTCCAAGGCAATGGGCACCTCCAGCTCTTCCTTTCAAGATTGCTGCGAAGCCTTTGGGTGTGCCTGAAGGCCATGATCTGCAAGGTCTCCAGGCAGCATCTTGAAGCCACCAAGGTGCAAAACAGCTAATGATTAAACTTGCTTTCTCAGTTTTACTGCTGGAGAAATGCTTCTGTGGCAAAGCACCCAGCAGAGTACAATACTCTTTTCACATCAAAAGAATATGCAGACACCCAGGGTAAATACTGGCCTGCATTGAGCACACTTATTTCTGTGCTGCTATCTATTTACCCTGATGGTTTCAGTGTACCGAGTTCCTCAGTCCTCTAAAGAGTTCTCAGCACAGTGGTCAAAAAAACAATGTGATTTTTTGGGTTTTGTTTGTTTCAATTAAAAAAAAAGGCAACAATGTGACTGAAAAATACAAAGGAAACACAGCAGACACTTAAGAAGGAACAAAGACAGCAAGAAGGAAAAGAAAATCAAAAGCAAGTAATTGGCAGAGTCAGAATTAGTTATTTTTATTAATTCCAAAGTTCTTGCTTCCTTCTGCCAGCCTCATTTGATTGCTGGGCAACAGAGGCAGTTTCTACAGGTTTCCCTTTAGTTAAAATGATTTGTTTATAAGACGTATTATTTGTAATAAACACAAGGATATCACTTTGTAAAAACATTCTTCTTCAGGAAGTAATAAAACACTTGCTCAGTTTAAAGTGTGTCCTCAAGTGTTTTTGCTGGATGGGTGTTATACTCATGTGGTTTTACTCCACTGAATCATCCCCAGAGAGAGCAGAAATGAGGGATGGTGGGGAAAGAGACTTGGAAACAAATAAACGCTCTAAATCAAAAGGGCAGGACTGTGTGTGCAACCCAGGCCACAATAGCATCAATGGCTCCCACAGGGCCAGAATTCCTCCTGCATTTACCAGCCAAGGACAAAACCTAATAATCTTGCCCTCGCTTTTCCTACTGCAGCAAATTTCCTTGGTAGTTTGCAAACCTCAGTTGATCCGTGTCTGACGCACGGCAGATGTCTCCCAGAGCTGTGGAGCCCCCACACTGTCATTCTGCTGATGTCACTCACACCTCAAAGGACTTACCAGCAGGGGATGGGGGAAATGCATTTGTCAACAGCTTTTACTACAATAGATCTTAGTAGGATTTATATTTTGTGGAAAAGCACAGGTTTTCTTAAGAGTTCCCCATCCTTTGCAGATGCTCTAAGGGAGATGAAAGAAAATTTACAGAAAAAACTCGAGGGCAGGTTCTGAAATTATTGCTCAAAGGCTGATCATTAGGAGCTGTGGCTTTGACATAACTTTAAACCCTGGCTCAGAGATTCTCACATCAGGAACTCCTGCTTCAATTGTGTACTGTCTTCTTGAAATCTATCCAGCAGCCATGGAAAGGTTTCAGGCTGTGGGAAGCCATCTCATTCCTCAGTATGTCAGCCCTGCAGTCTGGCTACCCCCTGGCTGCTGGTGTCTTCTGGTGAGAGCAGCCCCAGTCACTCAGGTCCACCCACTGGAAATGTTTCAGGAGTAGATAAATAAAACATTAATGAGGATCAATTTAAGAGAAAATCCAGAAATAATATACTGCAAAGAGATTATCCTAAAAAAACAGCTGAAGCCGTCAATGAACTTTTTATTATGATGTTAAACACAAATTTTTATTAAAAGTTTCTCCGTAACACACAGAGGAAGATGTAATAGTGCAATGGGTACTAAATCAGAATTCTCAAATTTTACACATGCCTTGAAAAGGCAGTTATATGGAAATCCTTTGCTTCCAATTACACTGAATTAGGGTTAATGTTTCTACCATCAGAGGGAAATTACAGTGAAACCCCAAGTACCTGTAAATAAACTACCGTTGTTTTAACAACCACTCTCCCTCCCATATCAAGGGACAATTAGCTTAGACAAAATTTTAAGAACGGAAAGCATATCAAAAGCCTTTTGATATGCTTTCCGTTCTTAAAATTTTGTCTAATTTTGATAACTCCTCAGTAATCTATGTAAAATTACCTAAAATATTCCTTCCTCTTTCTTGAAGAAGTAACCACTTCATGAAACACATAAGCAAGAGCAGCACTACTCTGAGCAACCTAGGTGAGGAAGCAGAGCACTGAGTGCACATGCAGGCAGGCTCACCCTGCTAATTCAGAGTGAACTTACTCTCATCAGTTACTGGGCTTAATTTTAGTAAATAAATTAGAAGGTTAGATGTTGCCACAGGGACATTTTCAGTTTTCCTTGTGGCCTGTGTTGGTGTGTTGAGAGGGACCCAACAGCTGTGCAAAGATGTCATATCAGCATGGGATAGTTTCTTTTAGCTACAAACAGCTTCTAGCTTAAAACAGACCAAAAACTCACTGCCAGGTAAGGCAAGGCCTAAATAGGAATTTCCTTAGAATAACTCCTAGGCTGAGAAATGTCTAGTATATGCATTTATTTAATTCTTTGTTATATTATATATTTACATTACATACATGTATCTATTAGACATTATATTTTGTATTTTTATATTTGCATGCATGTTATATATTTATACACAAAATATTATATTATGTATTATATATTATGTTCATGCTTATTTCATGCATTTATTATTACTTATTACTTGCCAAGGACAGGAAGGGACCTTGCTGTTAATAGTGGGTGTTAATGCATTTGAGGACATGAGGTGTGAGGTTGGGCTCATGTCCCATTCCTCAGCTGGGGCTGGCAAGCACAGGAGGACTTACAGTGTGGGAAGGAGTCCTCTGGCATTAAAGAAGTGAGCAGCTCCTATTCTTCCAGGCTGAGTCACCAGGGAGAGAGAATGAGCCTGTAAATGTGTTTGCTTACTAACAAGGAGAGTAGGAGACAATTCTGTGTTTGCATATACTGAAAGCTGTCCTCACCACTGCAAACACTCCTTGTTATTCAGTGCTTTCCTTGTCGATGCTTCTGATTTTCTGTAAGAGAGCAATTGGTGATTCTACTGTAAGATCATTAAAAAATATTCATTCACAGCCCGATATTGTGGGATACTGGATTAGGACTGAAGTTGGCAGCATATTTGGTAGTACATGTTTTTATAAAAATAACATGAATAAATCTATGCAAAACATGCACAGTTTTTCTCCAACTTTGTACCAATTGTTAACATACAGTGCATCTTATCCATTACTAACTGGGAGAAGTTAAATAGCATAATTCAGTATGTATGGATCTCAAAGCACTTCACTGCAGCATAGTAATTTATTCAACCCCACCTTCTAAAGGTGACAGGTTTGAGGGGGGAGGGAGGTGGCTCTTTTTTGGTTGGTTGGGTTTTTTGGTTTGGGTTGGTTTTTTTGGTTGGTTGGTTTTGAAGTTTTTGGTTGGGATGTTTTGGGGGTTTTTTGAGCAAGTCGTGAGTTTTCCCAAGCTGAAGGTGTGGAAAAACAGCTCGGTAAGGATGCAGGGGCAGGACCTGCAGAAAGGTTTCAGAATCAATTTCCCTGACAGTGAGTCTTGCGTGCAATGAGGCAATGCAAATATGGCAGGCCAGGTGCAAACACTGCAAATCACGGCAATAATGCTGAGCTTAGAACCGACCTCTGTCGCCCTGATTCTTAAGTTTTTCTAAAGCCTTCTGAGTTTACATTCTGTTAGAAAACTTTCCCACACAATTTATGTAAACAACATATTGTTTTGCATTCCTTCATGGAGGTGGAGAAACTTGATGTACTAGTGGTTTGTCCAATGTCTTTGGAAAGGTGGCCCATTCACTCTCCAATCCACTGTCACCTTTGGAAAAGTATAAAAGTTGGAGTCAGAAAATAAACTTTCTCTTTTACCTTGTAAAATAGCAGGTGGCTCACCTTGTGCTTTCACGTGTCCTATAGCGACAGACCTCGACAGCAAGCGCTACTTCACTTCCAGAAAAGGGGAATATTAACTGAATATAAACTACAAAAAGAAGAATTTTTAGAAAAACCAGTGCCCAATAGAGCATCTGCAGCATCATCACAGGAGCGGTGACGCTCCCGAGCAGTTTTCTGCCTCTCTCCTCTCGTTATCCCGCCCGTCCCTGGGCCTGGGTGGGAGCACACCGAGGCACCCCTGTAGAGGATGGATCCCCGGTGGATCCAGACTCCAGGGGCAGCATCAGCCCCCTGATGGCATCGCGGTCTCCCCTCCCCATCCCCTGGAACCGGTGCTTCTCCTCACGGTGTCCTTCTGTGCCTTCCGCGGCCGCCGTGAGGCTCCTGGGCCGGTTCGAGCTCCCCGACGGCTCTGTGCTTGTGATGGAGCCTCCGGAGTACACTTCGCACTTCTGAACGTCTTGGGGAAGCAGGGATTCCATTTTTGTTTTCAGTCGCAGAAGGATTTGGGCTGTTCTACTCCCTTTTTCAGCTTTGGCCTTTGATATGTTTCTTAGCGAACACAGGTGTAGGGGGTAAGGGGATAAGGGCAGGGTTTTCCCTACTCAGCCGTCCTCTTCCAGCACCATAGGCTGTCTTTCACAACCCTAAGTTTGTAAACAAGAGTCAGGCGCTGGTGAGAAGGCAGTGGGTGTGCCTTGTGCTGCTGGTGCAGCCCTCACATCCCCAGGGGTGCCTGAACAAAGGACGGGCTGAGAAGGAGCAGCATCCACTTGATGAGCTCTGCCTGTGTCCTGCAGGACTACCAAAGTACAGCCCTCCAGAGCAGATCTGCTTCCACTGCTACCATGGCCATTCAGAGATGATCCAGTCCCTGGACATCCTGCCCTATGACATGGTCTGCGGGGACCTTCCTGTCACAAAGAGGTTATCATCCAGGACTGGCTGTGCTTCACGCCACAGGAGTCTCAGGGTGGGTACCTGGCTTCATGGCATGCAGCAAATAACAGTGTTGGGAGGGTACAAGGTGGCACACAAGCATCTCACTCTTGCATCTCTGAAGAAGGTGGCACATATCCCTCTATCCTGCTCTTCTCCAAAATGTAGCATCGATTGGGATGCTAGAGTGCAGCTCTGAGCAGCCCCAGTGTGTCCAGGGCACTGGGTACACTGGAGAGTGTGGACAGGAGTTTTCTCTTACTGACCAGCAGTTTCTGTCTTCTCTCCCCAGAGTGCCAGCACCTCACTACATCAAAACATCATCATTCAGCCTGTGAGTTTGAAGGAGAAAACACTTTTTGTGAGTATGAAACACTTTATTCATGGTCAAAAATAAAATTCATGCTTTTGGTCCCCATCCTCCAAGGCAATCTTCTTGTGTCTTTGCTCACCAGCTTTTAGGAGGGGGTTAGGCAACCCAAAGAATGAAACAACAGCCCCTGTTTGACTGCAGCAGCCACTTCAGTGACCCTGAACTGCCACCCAGGCACACATGTGAATGTGAAAAGCAAGTGGGTTGCAGGGACAGAGGTCTCACCCCCTGTGAAAGCTGAGAGGAAATCAGAAGTGGCAAAATGCCATTTCAGATCAAACCCTGGCCAAATTGTTAATCTTCCATCTGTAGGCCCCTGCAAAATGGCCAGGCAGAGCTGGACTCTGACAAGGTTCAGTTTGGAGTGCTTTGTGCCCCTTGGCATGAAGGTGATCAAATAAGCTATAGTGTGTATTGATTGGAAAATGGATACTGAAGGAAGAAGGGGATCATGGAAGATAGGGAAGTCTCTTCTTGCCTCTCCTTTCTATCCCCAGGAGCTCCTCATGAAGAGAAATGCCTACCCTGGGTTTTCACTTGACACCACCCCACCCATCCACCCCTTCCCTCACTCGTGTCTGATCCATTCTGTGAACTTCTTTAGCTAAACTAAGAGGAATTCCACTATCAGTCAACACAGACCGCAGAGAAATGAACCCTGTACAGCAAAGAAAGAAGATTACAAATCTTACTTCAGGGATAGAACTTGAGAATTGTATCTTTCAGAAGATTGCCATTTACTCTAGTAAACCACAAAACACTAAACATGGGCTATGAATTTTAAATGAAAGAAGCAGGAGGTGTGAGAGCACAGGGATCAATAAACCATAGACCCTGGACCACAGGGATGCCCTGTAAGCCATAAACTCCTGGCAATCTGTGGCAACCGCTGAAAGCTAAACCATCAACCCTAAGCAATAACCACTAAAACTGGGTGAAAACCTGGAAATGCTGCTACTGGTGTTTTATAACTTTCTTTGGAGGTAGAGGACACAACAAAGAACAGTGTCTTCTGCCTGTCAGATAGTGGTTTTGAGAAGTTTTATATACTATTACACCTAGACCCCCTCGGTGAGGGGGGTACTGGATTTCTGGCACAGCATTAGCTCCACTGATGGCATCGTGGTCCCCCTACATATTTTCCACATCCCTTTCTTGAAATGGGTGATGAGCAACAGCCAAAGGTCTGCTACAGATGGAGAAATGCAGATTTACCACTGTAGAGAAGAGCCTTTCAGGGGTGCAGGGGCCACATTTCCCACAGGGACCAGAGACAGGGACTCAGAAGTGGCATCTCCCACTTTTACAAAGAAACTTGACGGTCCTCTATATTTATGTCTGATTTTCATTAAGTTTCTCATCTGCCCAGCTGACCAGCACTTTCACACTGTTTAAGTGTTGTTCAACTGGCTGCAGAGGGGACAGGGCATAACTGAAAATTTGAAAATCAGGAGACTGGTCTGTATTTTTCAAAGATGATGCAGTTTTCCCTCTTGGCTGTCCTTGATGTTCCTATGCATATAAAACTTTTGCAATTTCAGAGGTGCTCACAGCTAAGCATATTGTTAGAATTCCTGACATCTGTCTTAAACAGTAATTAATTTCTCTCACGACATTTCACAGTGTACACCATTATTATCATCCTGCAAGGCTTAAGCTGTACCATATGCATATGTACACACTTCCCTAAGATACTAGTATATCCATCAGCATGATGTCAATAATTTGGAAGCACTCCATAAGCAGTCACCAGTCCCATAAATGTTCTATTTGTGAATGTTCTATTTCCTGAATATGTTTGAAAATTGCATCCTGAGTGTGATTCGAATGCTACACACGTTCTATTGGAAAAACAATCACACCCTTGTAGGAAAACGTGAATTTCAGTATTCCAAAGCAAAAATCCTGAGAGAGAACGAAGAACATCTCCAGGATGCCTTTTACTATGTTTGACGTGTACTGGTATGAAGTTCTTATTTCAAAAATGTCAAGAAATACTGCATTTGTCATATTAGAGTGATACTTCAAGAAGATGCTGTAAGTTACACAGTTAAAAAGCTTAATGCTGCAGTTGTAACCTAAGCTGTTCTCATTTATTACTGCCATTGTGATTGATACAGTTTGCACACTCTGTAGCATTTCTGATTCATAACAGTGTGGTTGTTAGCTAGAACTTTGATTCAGTTGTTTTTATAATGCATGCATAGAGGATGCAAAATGGCAAATTGGAGATAATTATAATTAATTGCACCAGCAAGTACTAAAGCATCCATAGCCAAAGGAAGTCAGCATCTTCCAGCAATGTGCTTAGAACAAAACAGGTAAAAATAAATATAAATAAGATAGTAGATTTTGAATGTATCTACTAGTACTAGTATTTTTTTATGTATCATAGAGGATGTTCTTATGAATGACAAGGCAACAGTGCCATCTTCAGGTTACTGGAGTATTAAAGGAAGAGGAAAGCCGTAGACAGTGCTCTCTCAAGGCATTTTACTGTGAAACGTGTGTTCCAAGAGAAAAAAAAATGCTCTCAAGCCACTTTCTTACCTTGGTTGTGTTAAAAGCAAAGCATTTGTAAACGCCATCCCTTTCACAAGATGGTTAGAGAGATGGAGCACTTCCCCTGTGAGGAAAGATGAAGAGTATTGGGATTGTTCAGCCTGGAGAAGGTCTTACTGTGGCCTTCCCATAGCTGGACAGAGCCTACAAGGAAGATGACAGGCTGCTTACGAGAGCACGATGTGAGAAGACAAGGGGGAATGGCTTTTAACTGAAAGAGAGAAGGTTTAGATTCTCACTTTAGAGACTAGCTTAGATTCTAGGAAGAAGTTCTTTGCTGTGAGGTTGGTGAGGCACTTGGAGCAATTGAGAAGTTATGGATGTTTCTTGGATGGTCCCTGGCAGTGTTCAAGGCCAGGCTGGATGGAGTTCTGAGCAACTTGGTCTAGTGAAGTGTCCCTGTCCATGGTAGTGAGGTTGGAACCAGATGATCTGTAAGGTACTTTCTGACCCAAACCATTCTGGGAATATGGTCTTTCATGAATCAGTATTAATTTTCTTGGCTGCCTGTTTTCCTCCTTTCATTGATACCTGCATTTTATAGACAAAACATTCTTGAATCCTTTGTATTTTTTCCAGTTGTACTGACACCACTGTATCTTACCCTTTAATGTTTTATGGGTTAAGACACAAAGATCCACATGAAGGCCAGAACTGCATTGCAGTGCAATGCAGTGATTCAGACACAGGACAGAAAAACCTGAGTGTGCAAATCGCTGTGACAAAGCAGGGATTTACCCTCCACATACGTGTGAGAAGCTTCAGAAATATGAAAGAATGCAGAGGAAAGCTGCACTAACCCACCTGGAACATTCCCACCACAGCTTCTGCTGAGGAATGACCACCAAAATGTTGGTAGTTTTAGATCAGCAAACAAAATAATCATGTCTAATTCTTTTAAGCAAAGGTTGTGGTGAACAGCAACCACTCTCCAAGCAAATGTTAAGGTCTGCTGGGTTGTTAAGAATCTGCTAGAGCAGATCTGTTGTTGGGTTACTCAAGTACTTCTTTATCTGCAAATCATGGAATGATTTGGATTGAAAGAGACCTTTAAGATGATCTAGTATGTCAAATTAGATTGACGTTTCAAAGATTTTCTCTCATGAAGGAAAAACCATCTAGAATACCTCCTCAGATAATATTCATAGCCCAATAAGGAAACATGCTTTTGAGAACAAGCTGTTTTGTAAGAATGTATGTTTTATGGCATTTCAATCCAAAGAGAAAAAAAATCTTTATATTAAACATATGCCAGACAGTATAGTTTCAAAGGATATTTTAAAATTCATGAGTTGAGTGCATGAAACTTATACCACCTTAATTAAGCAACTCCTACCTGAGCAAAGAATTGTTAAGAGTAGGATGGAGATAACCTCCTAAGCTTCAAGAAAATAAGGATTTCCTATTTAAAGGACAACTGCACCACCCCAAAACCCAGATGCCAATATGCTGGATGGTGTCCCATCCTGGACAGCAGTATCAGGGGATCAGTTTATAACACAGTTTCAAGGCAAGGCAAAGAAGGTGTTATTTCAAAAGCCATGCCATGACACAGGCCTTGTAGGAGGATGGACAAGGCATTCAGCTGTTTAGGCAGAAAGGAATATAAACTCAGAAGTTATGCTATTCTGACCCATCCCACACATTATTCAAAACATAACATTAAAACTAACCTGCTTTGATAGAGCACTCAGTAGGAAGAGATGCATAAAATCTCTGCTCTTTTGTTAAAAAATATTAACAAGTGCAGAAAAGAAGGGACTGCTTTCCCATATATACATAATATCAACACTTCCTTTATCAACAACTGTGCATTACATACAGCATTTTAGACTGTGAATATCTGTACATTTTTCACCTGGAAAGCTTTTCACATCAGATTTTAAACAAATCATTTATATATATTCATTCTTTATATTTTCAGAAGAGTAAAGTATGCTAAACAGGAGGACCAAAATATTTTTCTTTAATAATACAATTAATTTAGTTTGTTTTATTTGGTATCAGAAGTACCTCTTTTCATCATATAGCACCTTATGCATTTATCATAAGCTACCTGTCATAAACGAAGAGTTTGTACAATTGTTAAAATAATTTTTCAGTAGGTTCTAGCTTAAGAGAGGGAGGCACAAGTATCTGCCTACACATTTAATCTTCTTTTCAAAGATAAATATATGTTACAGTTTCAACGCATGCCCAAGATTTGTCTGCTCTTTAGTTGATAGTTTCTTTCCAGTTCAGCCAGTGCTTGAGCCCGTAGATTTGCAGCATATAGGCGCCTTTTGAGATCAGAGGTTTTCCCTTTGGAAAGGAAATAGTTTTCCATATTATGAGGTACAGCTTTCTCTTCAGTTCCACAGTGTGAGATCTTCTTTGTTGTAGAAAGAGGAAGCAGGAGTGGGTTGTCTTAAGAAATCAAAAAGTACTGCATTAGTGCATCTTCCAGCATTTATTGCTTTTAACCCTGGTGCCCATTTTGTCATCTACCTACGGCTCTACGTGATCTAATTAAATGCATCTCTGTTAATAGCAACAATTATTTTATATTTTTTGAGAAAAAAATTGAAAACAAGCCTTTTGAATGATCATGGTAAAAGGATATATGCCATAGTTTTTAGGATGCACCTCCCAATACCTAAGGAAAGATTAGTTAATTAAGGAGACTTTTTTTCTGAAGGAAAATTAAAATAAACAGTAACATAAAGTAGTTCTAAAAGAAAATGCAGAATGAATTTCCAGTTTTTCAGCTACTGAAAAAGTCTTGTCTTTGCTTCACAGTAGGGGCAGACTCAACCTGGCCAGTGGTCTTTGTACTTTATCCCCATTGTTCCAAACTCTATCTTTTTATGAAGTCACTGGGGTACAAATTAGGCTCTGACTTGATGAGAAATTAGTTTAGGTAAATTAAAAATTAACAAGCTACTTTCACTGAGACTCTAGAACGGGAATTTTCCTAGCATATCCTATAGCATGCCACCATCAAAATGCAGTTAATGACTCAAGAGTAGAAAAACTGCCATAAAAACTATTATAACAGCTGAGTTGCCTCACATAAGAGCCAACTTCACAAGGCCAAACTTCAGGGTGTGATTTTTATTTAATCAAAGGTCTAACGATTATAATCTCAACACTGAAGCCTTAATTATCAATTTATGAAACTACAGCAGGAATGCAAAAAGCACAAAAGAGCAAGAAAAAATTTTAAAAGCCAGCAAATATTTCAGCATTTTTTAGCTTCATTTGTAAGTCAGATCTGTTTTAACATTAAATGGTTCACTCAGAATCAGAACATCCCAATAAAAAATAGGGTAGTGTCTAGGACACAGCTTTAAAAACCAGAATTTTTGGTATTCCATTTTACTGTTAAGTGAACCACCCAATGGACTTCTAGAAGAAATTAGGGATCTAAAGAGATGTGTGAGATGCAATCCAGTTGTGAAAAATACAGCAATAGTTGAGCAACTGAAAACACAAGCAAGCACTCTTAGTACCACTATTGGAGACACTGGGTCCATTTGTACGAGAATAGGCATAACTTTAGAAACAGTGTTACAAGAGCACCATGGGATGAAATAGAAGAGCAGCAAAGCACAGAAATTGCAAAATTTGGTCAGTTTCGTAATAACTGTGGTCACTTTGCCGCTTATCGAGTTGAGATATTAACCACGCAAACTGGTTTTGCCTATCCTCAAAAACCAATATGCCTGGTAAGGTCAAAATATCGGGTAAAGGGGTGGGAAATGCAGAAGAGAACAGAAGTAAGAGCTGAAACTCATTTGCCTTCAGTCATCCAGTTTTAGATGCAACATCAGAAAGCCAAAAGCAAGTTTGTTCTGAAATTCTTTAATGTGTTGATGTCAAACAAGATGTTGAGAGACAGGTGGAATTCTCAAAGTTGATAGAAATGTTAGATACAGCTCAAGAAGCACTCACTTTTTAGGGGCATTTTACTTGTGTCCTTTTCTGCTCTGATAGGCATTTCTTGGAAAAAAAAAAAAGCTACTTCAGTTTTGTTTTGGAGGCAGTGACATGCTTATCTTGCTTTATCAGACCAAAGCTAAATGAAGGGAGTGTTACTGCATGTTAAGGAGTGTTCACATGTACTACTTCTGACCCAGCCCTTCACTATCCCTATCACTATTTAAAAAGGCATTTAGATACTTGAATATTGTTTTTTATTATTAAAAGATGGGAGCAAATAACAGATGATACTCTTGTGATAGCAAAGAATGAACAACCAAGGGAAAAGTGAGTATAAAATACTACTATAAAACAGATAGGACTAGCGGCAGTCAGGAAGTATTTTAGTACATTTGCAAATATGAGTTTCTTTCTATAATAGCAGTGTGTATTCTTCATAGTTTATATGATGCACCCACCAGTCACAGCTTGCAACAAATAATATTTGCCATGTTGAAGCTTTTGGAAGTTTAATGAAAGCTGAATTTATTAGACATATGGAATTTTATTAAAATTAACTAAATCAAAGGTCTGTAAAAAGACATCCATACATAAAATAAGTGCAGCTCTGAGAGAGGTTTGGGTTACAAGGAGGTGCTTCCCTTAGCTCACCACAAGAACCTAATTTCCCAGACAGCACAAGACTGCAGTGCAAACAGTGCTAACTCAGGCTTATGGTTGAGCATCACTCATTAAGTCCTTTTGCAAAATACAAAAAGTCTCTTCTCAACCTTGCAGCCATAACTGGGCTTTGCCTTGCCCCAAGGGGACTGTGCCGAGCACGCTGAGCACCAGGGGCTTTCTTCTGGTCACACCAGCCTACATCGACCCGTGCAAGCGCCTTCTTGAGTATTTGCATACCTGGACCTTCCGCGCACGTTACCTCCCGCTGCTGCGCCTGGAGATTGCACCTCTTCATCATGCTTTCAGCTCTGGTTTGGGAAGAGAAGTTTAAGCTTTTTGTTGTAAGACTGTAGAGTTTCTAATATAGGCTATTATAGGTTAGTAAGATACCTAGCAAGTTTGTCCTCTGCCATTCTCTCCCGAACACAGAGTTCCCGTTCTCTCTCTGGAAGCAGAAATATGGTAGTTTGCAGCATGAGCATGTAAATGTTAGAGTGACTGTGCATGGGGGGCTTCTCTTACAGGGAAAGACAGCAGTAATAGCCAGTCAGGTGCACCCACACTTCTGATTCTATGGCTCTAAACAAAGGTAACTGCTGTGTAGATACACCTTTATCAATGCACTGATAAAGCACCGACAAGTACTCTGAAATGCCAGGCATGCTTTTGTCCCAAACTCTGGTCTGCAACAACAAATAGATAGCAACTTTCTATTCTGCACATTAACTCATGGCACACATGACACCAGGTTTAAATATTTATATACCAGATATTATAATTCAGCTATGATTAAACACCCTGCTTATAACAGCAGCAGCTGTTATTCAGGCTCAGATAAAAAACACATATGGTTAAAAACTGTATTGCAGAGCCTACTGCATATGCAGAGATATTTTATGTGGGCAGGAAATGCCAACACCTGAGGACCAGCCATCTATAGACTCACAGGTAAACTACTGTGGGGAGCAGCTTTTATAAAAGCAGTTGACAGTTTACACAAAGATTTTTTTTTCTCGGGTGAGCATCGGGCTCACCTTCAGTTACATCTTAGATTAGGCAATGTTTACTTACACAGTTGATGAAAAGTAACCTACATTGCACAGTGTACACTTTCCTAACTGCCACTCATGTTTAATAATCTTCAAACCAGATTTCCATATCTAAACTGTCAATTCTATCTTAGTAACTTAAAAAAGGAAGCTAGTATAGCAGAGTAAGCCCTGAGCATTCTTGTTTTGGTCTTTAGACCCAGTTCTAGTGGTGAATGCAGGACTACAGTATCCAAGTGCTTTAAAATGAGGCTTGTGAAAACTGTCTAATTTTTCTTCCTCCAACTGAATCAGAATCCCATTGCCACTCCCTTCCCAAAATGGAATAGCATACGCTCCAGACGCTGTTCTCTCTCTTTAATGGCTTGCTCTCGCTCGTGTAATTGTTGCTCCTTCCATTTCAGCTCATTCACTGCGACATCTGAGAATTGCAGCCTTTCTGGCTCCCAGAGTCTCAAGCCTCTTCTATCAGAATTCTGGTTTTGCTCTTCTATCACCATATCTTCTATCAAGGGGTGCCGCAGAATATCTTCAACAGAAGGTCGGCAGTAATCCTAAAGGAAATTAGGAAAAGGGAAGGCATTACCAACAGGTTCCACCTGTAAGAAAAAACATTAAGGACAGAGAATTCCAAGCAAGACCAGCTGAGGTGCTACAAAGTAAAGGAGAGATTGGAGAAAACTGGAATTAGGAAGCAGTAGCACAGCAGGATGATAAAAGCTAAGGGAGGAGGCTGTTACCAGCCTTGAGATCCAGAGCTGCAAGTCTGTCTCCCAACCCAGAGACCCTCTCCCTGCAGAGTCAGAAGGGGGTGGGTGAGCCTGCAGAGGCAGCTGCCAGCAGATTCTGCTGCTGAACAATCCAATCCATGCCTGCTGGAGGCTTGGGTGCTTGCCACAGCTTTGCTGCCCCTGCCATGTTCTTCTCAACATCTCCATACCAGCCATGGGGGAACAAGCTGTATATTAGCCAAATAAAGCAATCCCCAAAATGAAGAAAAAACAGCCCCTTCCAGCTCCTAAATACACTGGAACCATTTTAACCCCGAAGTTATAAGGCCTCAATAAACATGCAAACTTCTTGAGGCCACCTTTATTGAGGCTTACCCATGTAAGCCAATACTGAGGCCACCTTTTGGCATCCTGTGACCCTGGCATGACACTTGAGCTGTTGCTTTTGTTTGATGGACTCAGAGCAAACTCCTCCCTCCTTCCTCCACAAGTGACACTGCCAGTTAGGGGTGATAACAACCCCTATTTCAGATAGGTTTGTTTCATAATTGAGAAGAAAAACTAGTATTTCAGTACTAGCTCAAATTATAGGTGGGAAAATTAGTAATTGGTTCTTACCTTTACATTCAGCATCTCCTTGAGAAGGTCATTCAGATCATCTGAGTAACGATATGGTATTCTCCTGACCCTCCCTTCCCTTATCTTTTCTGCCAGTTCCTTTTGGTTGAAAGCTGTAAATGGAGGCCTGAAGAAGAAAATTTTTCTTGGATTCTTTCACTAGTTTTACAGGACTTACTTTCAGGAAAAAAAGTATCAGACTATGAAAGAAAAACTGCAGTCAAGGTTTGTTTTGACTGTCTAATGTCAAGACCAATAGAGAAATAAAAATCTAGGACTAGTCTCTGAAAACTTTAAGCTTTCATCTGTACAAAATATAACCACATCTACATTAGCAATCATGTTTCCAACATTTGTTATCACACTACCATACTTACGAGAGAGCACATAATTCATACACAATACATCCTAGCGACCAGATGTCAGATTTTTCATTGTATGACAAGTAGTTCATTTGTTCCTAAAGAAAGAGAGCAATCTTAGGTTTGTTAACAAAAACATGGTTCATTCATGCAACTCTGTTTTAGTCAACATTAATCTTTCCCACACAAAGTGCCCTGTATCAGGGAAACAAGTCATTCCTGCTCATTTCCACTACAACTTAAAATCCTACCATTAGGAGGTAATTTAATAACCGCTTTACCTTAACAGTATGAAGCATAAAAGCTCTCTAACTTCCCTGTTCCTTTTCAGGAACAATATACTCCAATGTTGCTAGTGTCCCAGGAATATAACAAAGCTTATACAGTGAAGAGCAACTGTTATTAGAAGGAAGTTGATTGTGTGGGGAAGAAAGGAGATGAAAATAGTTGTAAAATAACTTTGTCTCCAGAGCACATATACTTTATGAAAAAACTCGCCTGCATTTAAGACCAATAAAGCTTCATTAAAACCTCCCAAACATACATGGACTCTGAGACCAACATAGCACACCTTGGAGGGACAAAAGAGAAGATAATGTACAGAAGGGACTTACTGGAGACATGTAATATGGAGTGCCAACAAACGTTGTGGCAAAGCTGGTATTATGGTGCAATATCCTGGCCAGTCCAAAGTCTCCAAGTTTCACATTCTGTTTGCTATCTAGAAAGACATTTGCTGGTTTCAGGTCTCGGTGCACAGTGACTGCACCATCGCTCCGCCTGTGACACTCCCTCAAGGCTAACGTTAATTGAGTCAACACCCGGAGAATAAAGCTTTCATCCAAGAAATGCCTGAAAAATGAACACATTGTTTAATGGATTTTCTGAACACACATCAGTTTGATTATTCACTGCCAGTTTTAGTTCCATAACTTTTTAATAGTACTATCATAAAACACCACTCAAATAAGCACTATCAGCAACAGACATCTATGTATTCTACCTTTAAAACTGATTTTTTTTTTAAAAAAAAATCACTACAAATATGTTAGATGACATTGAGGCTTTCATTGCAGAATCCCTGCAGTAGTTCTTTCTTCCCCCATACTATCTAACGAACATATAGCATTTTCACTACTTACAAATATCAATTTGATGCTTTTGCAATGAGATCTGTACCTTCGACTGCTCAATACAACGATATGTTGTCATTTGTTAATAATGAGCAACATACAATAACAGCCAAAACAGGACTGTTTTTTGAATACAGACTCCCTTAAATGAAAAACACTGATACTGGCAGGCAGCCACAAAACTGTTTTAGACTATCCTCACAAAGAGGTCGTGTCATGTACTTGTTTGAGCTAAGAATGTGAAAACTGACACTATTCTTAAGTAGAACGTTAAGTCTAAGATTAGACCAAGATGAAGCCTTATCAACTTGATGTCTCTCCAAGCTCTATATATAGGCAGATAAAATAGCTTTTCACATTGCAATCAAAATCACTGCTCCCTTCCACACACGTCGGCGTTCTCATAAATCCCATGCATTGCCAGAAACCCCTCAACAGCTTCTGCCCCACAAGACAGCTCTGTGTTTCTTACTGCTGGCAGCACCAACATCCAATCCGGTGATGCATTCAACAGCACAGTTCCCATCGCTGTTGCAACTTTGTACAAAACCTTTCACCTTTGAGAAGAGCTGCGGGGTCGAAAGGCTTAAAACCTGAAGCTATTAAGCAGTAACAAAGCACATTTCCCTTCTCTCCGGACTGCCCCAAGACCCGTGCGAGACATTGCAGAACACAAGGTCATTTCACGTGCCTTTCTTTGGCGCACTTGGCGATCAAGCTGGCCAGGTCTCCCCCGTCGCAGTACTCCATGACGATGTACAGGGTGGTGCTGCTCCTGTCGATGATGCGATCGTAGTAGCGCACGATGTTGGGGTGCCGCAGCTCCCTCAGCAAGTTCACCTCCGACACGAGCATCTGCTTCTCCGACTCCGTCATCGCGCCATAGTCCAGTTCCTTCCATACCAAGATCTGCGGGGGCAGAAACACCCTGAGGAGCGAGCGGGACAGCAGCGGGGCAGCGCAGGGGGAGGAGGGGCTGCCGGAGCCGCTCGCTCGCGCGCGGCGGGGACCCGCCAGCACCGGCCCGGGACGCGCGGCCGCAGCGAAGCCGCGCTGCCCCCGCCTCGGCCTCACCTTGCCGTCGGCCTTGCGGCGCACCTTGCGGCACTTCCCGTAGGAGCCGGCGCCGATGGTCAGCAGCACCTCGTAGTCGTCGGGGCGGCCGGGCATGGCGGGCAGCGCACGGACCGCGCCGGGCCGCGCGGGGCCCTGCGCTCGCGCCGCGCCGTTCAAACGCACCGCCCCGCCCGCCCATTGGCCGCGCCGCCCGCGCGCCCCGCCCGCCCATTGGCTGCGCCGCCGTAAACAGCGCCCGCGAGGCGCGGCGGGTACGGCCGTTACCGCCGGGGGCGGGGCCGAGCCGAGCCCAGCGCGAGACCGGGGCGGGGCTGGGCCGCCCCTCGCCTCGCCCCGCCTCACCGGGGGCTGAGGGGTGCGGCCTCCGCAGCTTTACTGCCTCTTTCTTTTTCCCTGCTTTTCCCCTTTCCTTCCCCCTTTCCTTCCCCCTTTCCCTTCCCCTTTCCCTTCCCCTTTCCCTTCCCCTCTTCCTGATTAGACAAATCACCGGGCCTGCACGTATCAGTAATTCACATTCATAGCTCCTTAGGAAGAGGTGTGGTTTTTTTCATTAAAAATAACAGTAAATCATCACTGTTCCTGAAATGCTTACATCTATTGGATAGATAATTTTGTTATTCAGGAATGCTAAAAAAAAAAAAAAAAAAAAACCAACAAAAAAACCCTTAAACTGTTTAAAATATTGTAAATCTAGTCTGGATTTATTGCAGTCTACAGCTTCTTGGTGAGGGGAAGAGGAGGGGCAGGCACTGATCTCTGCTCTGTGGTGCCCAGTGACAGGACCTGAGGGATTGGCCTGGAGCTGTGCCAGGGGAGGTTTAGGTTGGATATCAGGAAAAAATTCCTCATGAACAGGCTGCCCAGGGCAGTGGTCACAGCACCAGCCTGGCAAAGCCCTGGAAGTGTTTGAGCAAAGCTCTCAGGCACATGGTGTGACTCTCAGGGTGTCCTGTGCACGGCCAGGAGTTGGACTTGATGATCCTTGTGGGTCCCTTCCAACTCAGCATGTTCTGTGAAAACCGTCCTTTAAAACCAGTGTGGAAAATTTCTTCAAAAATTTTTCTTCAAAAATTCACGCATGAATAAGTACCAAAGTCGTGGCAGCTCCCTGTCCCACCACGTATAAACAGCCATGCTACATCATACACAAACCACCTGCTGAAAACAAACCGAAGAACGTAATGGCTTAAATCGTAAAATTTGGGAAATGCAAACTGTGGGTCCACATCCAAATGGAGCCAGCAAATACTGTGGTTACAGTAAACGGCACTCAGTAACACCACAATCTACTAATGGCATTATATACATTTTAAGAAGAATGTAGTGTATTTTCTAGCATCATTTATGATAAGGAATATGCCAAGGTGCAGTTCTGCAGTTCAATTTTATCTCTATCCATGTGGCAGTAGCTGTGACTGGAACAGGAACTCCTTCAGCAAAGCATTGTAACATACTTGTAATAATATAGAATCACCATGGCCTGGGGTGGAAAGGACCCTGAAGATCATCTTGTTCCCACTCCCTGCCATGGGCAGGGACACTTTACTGGATCAGGTGTGAAAGGGAACTGTTGTATGTCCTGACCTAGAAATTCAGCAACAGGACAGATCAGTTCCTCATTTTGCATTTGGTCTCAGTTATTTCCCAATTTTGTTTCAGCTTTGAAACAGGTTGGAGTAGGTGTCATGCTATGACAGAATATTTATGAAATATTCTTCTATTAGGCTTTAGAAAAATCAAAACCTTTACTTTTATCATCAGGAGGCACAAAAACTCCTGCTGTCCATTATAAAAATTGTATAGACTTCTTATCTGTAGAGAATATATGGTCATTACAGGAAAAAATGAGCAAATGATTTCTACAGTGTAAAGGTATTTTGGTTTTGTAATTAATGGGTAACAGAGTGATCTAAAGGGTTCGTGTTTATTACTGATTTCAATTACCTTGAAAGAAAATCCTCACATGCACCATTAGCATAGTGAATAAATTATGGCATTACTCAATAAAAATGACAAGCAGTACAGTATGTATTATTCAGGCTGGAAGCTTCATTACTGGTTTAAAATATCTCAATTTCCAACTTCTGTACATTCAAATTAGCAAAAGGTCATCATGCATTCCCACTGTTATCAATGGGAGCCTTTCTATTTATATTTCAAAAGAAATAGAGTAGGATTTCAATACTGTGTTTTGTCTAGGCACTATCTTAAAAGTTTCTTTAGAAATGTTGGTTTGAATCAGAGAAATGTCAAAATGTCATGCTTCAAAAGCCAGCAGCAGCCATTTCACTTTTTATTATACTTAATAAGGGCTGGCTAATTTTGAGAAAAATGCATTTCTAAAAGTGGTTATTAAAATTTTTGGCAGGCACTACATTTTCTTTCTTTCTGATTTTCACACTTATAAAAATGACAAGAATTTTTTCCTTTTATATATGGACAAGTGAACCCAGACATGAATAATTCCAAAACTATGTATCAAGTTTGAAATGGGGTCCTCCTTTGTCATGTATTGTATTTTCAATTTTGGTCTCTTAGTTCAGGAGCAACTCTCAGATTTCTAGTCCTGAAAATATATGTGCTGACTTCAGGCCTCAAAAGCCACCAAATAGTTCTCAATAACATATTTATAGTAATGCTTCTAATATTATATTCTGCTTTAAAATTTTTTTAACATCAAATTTCACCAATTATTTCCTAAAACTTGAACAAAATAAAAGTACTCTTTGGTAGTTGCCTACTGAGGTTTTTAGTTTTGATGACATCTGTCCTTTGTGCTGTAAGGAGTACATTTTCTCTTATTCCAGGACCTAGTTATCTAACAAAATATTAAATGCTGAAGATAAATAGTATGGTAGGCAATTTGATATTTCTCTAAAGATATTTTCTTTTTTGCACATGGAAGTAGGTAAAAATAAATGTGTGACACTTTGCTGTGAAAGTCCATCACAATATAATTATACAGATTGATAGCAAAAAAAGTGCAGTAAAGTACTGAAGGAAATTAAGTATGTTTCTGGCAGCTTTTTTTGTTGTTGTTTTGGTTTTTTTGTTTGTTTGGTTTTTTGTTTTCCAATCAGAGAAGATTGCACAGGTTCAGAAAGTGAAAATAAGCTCAACAGGAAAAGCACTGAAAATGAAGCCATAAAAATTATTAATAAGGAAAAATAAATGCACTCTATAAGAATTATTAAAAAAACAACTGAGAAAAATGTTGGGTTTTTTTCTTTTCTAAGAGGTGAAAGACATATAAAGACATAGTCCAGGATCCATGGCAGAAATGTGCCAGTCTTCTCGCAAAATAGGGAGGAATTGAGTATTCGGTATTAGACAGGTAAGAGGTCTTAGAAATATTTTTACATGACAGCAAGAGGACTTATAAATACTGGAGTGACCGAGATGATGAGTGTTTTATTTGAGTTCATTTTCACCACAGAAGTACTTTGGAGTTTTTAATATTCAATGGCATTTGTCCTTATATATCTTTATGCACACTGGGGTTTTCCCCCTCACTTTCTCTCATCTCTGTCCCTGCCCAGACATTTTAAATTTACCCAGGACTGTTGTACACAGATGATGTAACTTTTTGGTAATGTTTACTGATTTTAACAACAAAAATCATACACAGGCTCAACAAAAACATGTAAAATACTTGGATATTAGAGAGAAACACTATAAAAAATACCAGAGGATAAAATTTCCCTCTATTGCTTTGTGAGGGAAACAAAGAACACGTTCATTGACAAAATTCTGCACAACACAGCTGTGGACAGGACAGCAAAGGAACAAAATTGAGCAGCATTAATTCTAGTACTTGAGACCATGCTATTTTTCATCTTCTGTAATGCTTGGATTCAAAGGCACAGCAATGTGTGCAGCAGGGCAAGCTCCAGTCAGGGGGTTTGTTGCAGCAGCTTTACGTTGAAGGTTTTGCATTACAAACCGTTCAGATGAGGAAAACATAAAGCCCCATGAAATAAATCCAGTCTTTATACAAAGGACTGTAAAATCAACAAGCCAAGAGGATGGGAATCAATGAGGAGGGGACTGAGGAGAAAAGACACATTTTTGCATTCAGAGAGGGGAGCATACCAATTCTACTAACTCCAGGGTTTTTATTATCCATTCCTTATGTTCTGTAAAGTAACATTTAAATACAGTTCACAGCTGGACATTTTGAAAGTATGTAATTACTTAGCTCTCTTTCTTGTAATGAAATTAATAGCCCTATATGTTATGTATGTCTTCATATATATGCTAATTTTCACAATAGTATTCATTAACCTTAAGAACAGAAGGTGCTTGAATTGATCTTTAATACCACTATTTAAACTGATGAAAAGAGTGATTATTTGACATGTATAGAACTTCAAAAGAGAAATTATGGTGTGTCCTTCCTTAATAAGTCAAAATTTAAAATATTGGGAAAGATTCTAAGGAAGGATTCTAGTATGATAATTCATGATTTCTGTTGGCTTGCTTACTAAGTCAAGGAAAGCAGCCAAGTTTAGGATCTGTGCCTCAATTTATTATCTTTTGAAAGGGAACCTTTCCAGATTAAATTTAATATCTAGGAGCTCTCAAAATGCTCAAAAAAATGCTTTAAGTGATACAGTAAGTGAAGCTGCTTAATTTTTTAAAAGCAACAATATTAGAGTTGCTTATTGTGGAACAGCCAGTCTCAAATGTTTTTCCATTAATTTATTTGTACTTACAGTCCCTTCAGATGTATTGGGAGAAATTTTTTCAAATTTTTCAATATATTTCAAGAAAGTTTTTCAACCATCACCAGAATTCCGTGCACCATTATTGTCACAGATATTTTCATTTTGAGGGCAGTCATTATTTCTCTAACTCTCAATGTCTACAAACCCATGATATAATCCCAATAGTAAGATTCCTCTCTGCCTTGTTTCTCCTGTGGGAGAAAAATGCACAGAATTCACATTAAAGTCGCATCATGAAGCCTTCATTTTCAATCACATGATGATACAGTTGAAAATACGGACACAAAAAATTATTGGGGAAAAAAAAAAAGTGTGGCTTGAGATTGTGAAATATTTTTTGAAAGTTTGAAATGTTGTGCTGATTATCCTGTCACCAAAATTCTGAGATAAATTGTAGCCAGGGAAATGTTAGGAAATTGACAGCTTGGGAAAATCA